AAAAAAAAAAAAAATCTATCAAAAAAAAAAAAAAAAAAAAAAAGAAACAAAAATTTAAAAAGTAGCTGGGCATGGTGGTGCATGTCTGTAGTCCTAATTACTTAGGAGGCTGGCATGGAGGACCGCTTGAGCAACGGAGGCCAAGGCTGCAGTGAGCCCTGTTTGTGCCACTGAACGCCAGCCTGGGGAACAGAGCAAGACCTTGCCTATAAACATTTTTTAAAAGCAAAAAAAAAAAAAAGGCCTAAACAGGAAGCCGATTGCAAACAAAGGCCCCTCCGTGCTGCTACACCGGGATGCAGGTTCTCTGCTGGATCACTGCCCAGCACCCCGCAGGACAGATGGACCCATTCTGCCAAGAAGCACGTGGGTTGGGCTACTAGGAGCACCCTCGTCCGCGTCTACGTGCAGGAGTGGAACTGCCCAGTCCTGGGACGCGTGCGCTTAGCCCCGGCCGTCACACCGACCCATGCCCCCAAGGCCCTGCCTCAACTGGACTCGGTCTGGGTGACTGTCCGGTCCCTCCATTCCCTCCCCTCCCGCGGACTTTACTACCACGGACCGTCCTTGCCCGCAGCATCCTTGACCCCACAGCTCCAGGGCCACGAGAGGAGGCAACACCTCCTCTTCCTCCCACAAAAGCGCCTGCATCTGCATTGATGGCTGTGGTTCCTGATGCTAGCTGCTTATTCTTTTTTTCTTTGTTGAGAAGGAGTCTCACTCTTATTGCCCAGGCTGGAGTGCAGCGACGCGATCTCAGCTGACCGTAACCTCTGCCTCCCGGGTTCAAGCGATTCTCCTGCCTCAGCCTTCTGAGTAGCTGGGATTGTGGGCACCCGCCACCATGCCTGGCTAATTTTTGTACTGTTAATAGAGGCAGGGTTTCGCCATGTTGGCCAGGCTGGTCTCGAACTCCTGACCTTGTGATCCGCCCTCCTCGGCCTCTCACAGTGCTGGGATTACAGGCATGTGCCACTGTGCCTGACTGGGTGTGACCTTTCAAAGGTCATGCAGGTGACAGGGAGCAACAAAATACAAGAAAATTAATAAAGCATGTCACTGAAGCTGACCTGGTCACAGAGGGCCAAGTCTCTTCACTGCTTCTCACAACCATCGTGGAGGTGGGTGTTCAATGCAGCATTTTTTGTTAGTAGCAAAACAAGACAATGCAAATTCCGAAAGAATTACAACCTAAGTGCCTGTCAACAAGAGAAACAAATATAATTTATTCACGGAGCGGAAGCTACGATGGAAATGAAGGGGCTCAGCCCCAGTGCCAACAGGGTGGACCCCAGGCCCACCGGGGCAGGGGAAATGCGCTGGCAGGTGCGCGGGGAGCTCGACGTCGCGTGCAGAAAAACAAGTTTGAAGGTGCTTGAGAGTGAAAGGCGGGTAATTCGAGCCCCCGGATCCTCGACTCGGGGATGGGCCCAGGGAAAAGCCACATCACCTTCAGGTGCCAGAACCCAGGTGAGAAGGCCCAGGGTCCTTCCTAAGTTGTTCTGAGAATTCAAGATTTACACGGGATGGGGGAAAATAATTCCACCCAAAGTGCTGTGAATGGCCGGGTGCAGTGGTCACGGCTGTAATCCCAGCACTTCGGGAGGCGGAGGCGGGTGGGTTATGAGGTCAAGAGATCGTGACCATCCTGGCCAACATGGTGACACTCTGTCTCTACTAAAAATACAAAAATTAGCTGAGTGTGGTGGTGGGCGCCTGTAGTCCCAGCTACTTGAGAGGCTGAGGCAGCAGAATCGCTTGAACCCAGAAGGCAGAGGTTGCAGTGAGCCGAAATCACTCCACTGCACTCCAGCCTGGTGACAGAGTGGGACTCTCGTCTCAAAAAAAAGAAAAAATTTATATTTGGGCAGGGGCCATGGCCCACACCTAGAATCCCACCACTTTGGGAGGCTGAGGATGGAGAACTGCTTGTTGTCCATTCACATTCGGAGCAGGCCCAGGAGACCCATGGGCAGCAGGGTGGGCACTCAGCC